CAGCCTGCTCTCAGAGCAGCATATGCATGAATTATGGTGACAACCATGTTGACAGACTGAGATAAACTCGTCCATTGTGTCCGCAGCCTGGCAGCACAAAGCTGTGCCTCACAAGCGTTGTTTTCTAACTGACTGTTTTGGAGCAACAACGAGGAAAACACAAAACAAAAACAACATTTACAGCACAGGAGGAGAGAACATTTTTGTTAGGTCACCAACATTTCCTCTTCTTCAGTTTCCTTATTGGTCTGTGGAGGGGGGGGGGGGGACTTTTGTGTTCTACCACCGAAACGGAGCCGTCCAACAAACGTGGAGCTGCGTGGTCTGCGTTTGCGCTGCTGCAGGTGGCTGTGTTGACTTGTTCAGTCCTTCTCAGAAGTCCCCTAAATTCTTCTCAGACGGTGGACCCTGGTATTTGTGCAATACTTCCACCGACGTCGCTCCAACATTTCCTCCACTCTGTCTTTCTCTCGCTTTTGCTCGTTCCATTTTCTGCGTTTCTAGCTACAGCGTGTTGGTGACGCATTTCCTTCCATTGTATCAGAAACAGAAACAGACGCCTAGAGCCGGTGAAGTTACAATCAAAGTGGCTGAAGCGTGGTGATTGGAAGGCACTGTGTGTGTGTTCAAAACAGGTTTTTATGACTCTTCCTCTTCATCTGTTTCTCTGTAAACTGAACAGTAAAGTACAGCACTTTCCTCCTCAGAATACCTTCTCAGTCCCTGAGCCCGTGGACTAATGTTGTAACATTATGAGAACACACCTGGAAACAGAAGGGATTAGTAGATACTGATGGTATTAGCAGGAGTATTTGTCTCTACTCCTCATTATATAATCTGGTGAATGAAATAAAGCCAGATACAATAAAAGCTGCATGACATTTTTTTAAATCCATCATTTGAATGCAGTAGTAATCTTTTTACCCAACTAGGGTTTTTTTTTTTAACTTGTTTGCCCCTTTTCTCTGCTGCCCCAGATGGTGCTGATATGACTCGTTAACCCTTTAAAAACCAAGCAGAGCTCCTTTTACCTAAAGGAAAGTGAACTCCTGTCAGTGTGACACAGCTCACCACTGCACACAACCAAATGTGACCTCTGTTTTTAACCCATCACCACAGTGAACAGTGGGCAGCTTTAAGAACCAGGGAGCAGTGAGTGGTAACTTGGCAGCTGGTGGATTAGAACCTGCAACCTTCCGGACCCAAATCTGCTTCCTTAACCACTAAGTTGAACCGAAAATCCCTGTTGTCTATAACAGTGGATTTGGGGGGGGGGGGGGGGGGCTCATTTCACTGAACAACACAGTTGGATAAAGGTGTAACATGTAGCAGGGCAAACCTGTTTTTTATTGGCTGCCTGCATTTTCACCTCTGACAGATCATGACGGTTACCGTGTTCCCAGGGGACCATGGCGTGACCGGATCAAGTTCTTATTTTAAAGATGAGCTCGGCTTCTTTAATCTCCACTCTACCTTGGTTGGTTTCATCGATCTGCCAAGAAAAATAGATCAGATGATCTAGGAGTGGAGAGCAAGCGCTGAATGAGTCAGAAAGCTTCTGACTGTGAACCCTAGAGGTGGGCCGCGGAGAACTGAGAGACAAAGTGGAATCTCTACCTACACTGAGACCAAGCTGGACATATTATCACAGTGCTTGGAATAAGTCTGGATCCTCCAGCAGAAACGTCCTACAAAATGCCCCTCTTATCAGACCTTACATCATCCTGTTTTACCCTGTTACTAACAGAGTACGACAGAATACTCGTAGGTATGCGTGAAGTAACTTTTACCAACAGTATCCTGTTTTCAGTCCTGGCTGCATACCTGAGAGGACCTGACCGGAGCGTATGCAGCCAATAAAGTAACATTCTTCCTGTACACAAGCAACACTCCAGAGGTTAGGAACAATCAAATTATCTCTCTGCACTGACGTGACTGACTGCTTTCCAGGAGTCGCCAAGGCAACGGCTAAATAAAATCACTGAAGGATGGTCACTTAAACTCACAGGAGCTGAGTGCCCCTCTGCCATCTAGGCTCCTTTTCACTTGTTCTTCTTTTTTAGTGGGAATCCTGATGGAACTGATGATTAGACTTCTATTTAAAGACATCCTATTGAATTTTATCGCTGAATAGAGACCAGACAAAAGAACACGTGTCCACCGCTGAGGAGAGACAGCCGACGTGAAGGGGAAAAGGAAGGGGATTTTTAATGTTCTTGATTTTTAATGGACGGATTCTTACTTTGACAAATTGAGATCATTCAAACAACATAAGGTCTGGATGGTTTGATCCCTGTGGTTTCCACCAGGAGGTGCCCCCACATGTACATTAAAAAAGCACAAACCCTTGGTGACAGGAGTTCAGGATCCTTCACCAGGATGTGCAGAAACATTTAGTGTCAAATAACACAAATGCCCCTAGGTGGGATTCAGAAAAATGAAAAAAAAAAAGCTAAAATATTTTAAAACATTTTTTTAGAAATATTTGTCCTGAACTGTACAAAAAAAAAATTTGTTTAGAAATATTTGTCCTGAACTGTACAACACTGTACAAGCGCCGTCATCATCGGATTCTCATTACCTGAACACACCTCGTGTGACAGCTGCAACTTTGGCATGATGACATCATAATCTGTGTAGACCTCCTCATGCTAGCATACAGCTAACTAGCGCATGCTTGTTAATAATTTTCTTGATTGAAAAGGGAATAAAAGTAACAAAATGCATCCCCAGCCTGATAACAATGCTGTTTTGGGGGTCTTCACATGGAAAAGTTTGGGAACCCTCTTCATTCAGACACAACTGTTTCCTTCTGTTAGTCTTGTTAACGGCCACTCAGCGTGTCTGTCTGTCTCTGTGCACCAAGCCTGCACACTGGTGCATGTGTGTGTGTGTGTGTGTGTTTCTCCGGCTGATTATGTCATGCAATTATCCAGGTTGAGGTTTAACAATGAGGTGGCGAGTGACACTTAAGGAATGGAACAAGGGGCAAGAGCATGACTTGGTTACATATGTATGTTGCAAACCATCACTGCCCCTATATATATATATATATATATATATGCCCACTGTTCACTTTGGTGATGGGTTAAAAGCAGAGGTCACATTTGATTGCGTGCAGTGGTGTGCAATGACAAGGAGTTCACTTTCCACTTTCCACACATATATATATATATATACTGTATATATAGTTGAAAAGAAGCCTCTGTGTCACTGCCCCACTGGGCTTTTTTTCCCAAATGATAGTCATTTGTTGCATCTCAAAGTGCATAGCTGCATTAATTACAGGCCGAGAGCAGATTAGATTTCCTCTTTCAAATTCAAACCCGTCGCTTAGCAACACGGACAAATTTCAAATCAACAATACGTCCTGTGCAAGCACTTTGGTGAGATTAGGGAAAGGAGACCTTTACACTTGAACTCTTGGTGAGATTAGGGAAAGGAGACCTTTTACAGGGAGACGTGTCTGCATCAGGTCCTGTATTTCTGAGAGAGCAGAACCTAGTGGAGACAGAGGCAACAAGTTTGTTTTCATAATACAAAACAATGTGTCACATAAATGTGTACGTGTTTAGAAAGTAACGGAGAGCTAGTTTTCAGTGCACCGTGGGAGTTCCCCCAGCAATCCAGGCCTACAGAAGCATAACTAAGACACAAGTGGGGTTTACCTGCGCTAACTTTACATGTACTATAAGCTTTATCCTAGAGAAGAGTGGAGTCTGCGTCGGTTTTAGAGCAGTGGTCCCCAAGCTTTCTTGTACCAAAGACCAGTCGTCTGGTAACAGCCGTTACTTCAATTCAGTAAATTAGTAAAACTGAAGTACATTTTTCTGTGTCCCACTGCAACCCAGTACCAAATGATCTACAAACTAGGGGTTGGGGACCCCTGTTCTAGAGGATTTTTTTTTTCAATATTTTACCAGGTCATTATACAAGCACAGTTCTATGGTGGTTTGTGTGTGAGTGTTAACACAACAGTAGGTCTTGGTACAATGCAGGTAATCCATAAATTATTTAGGTCTTAGTTAAAACAAGGCATTTCACATTAAAAAGCGATCCAGGCAGCAGCATCATTGTATACCGTGCACAACCTGTGTGTTCTGAGCAGTGCAGAAACACACTGTGACTGGTCACCTTAGAATACCTCTGCACTTCATAGAGTATAAACTCTGTCCTCAACTTCCATGACCCAAGGCTGAAGGAGTAGCAAAAATAATCTGACAGGAGGAATATGTCTGGCACACAGCTACAGCCGAGGAGAGCTCAGCTTGGCAAAGTCAGTTGTGCTAAGCCAGATTAAAATAGGTACTGTGGCTAATTCCACAATATTCAATATGCCGTTTCATGTCATGTAACATGTCACATTCTGGGCCCTGTGCCATTGTTTATAACCTGCTGCTGAGACACAATTAGCACACATTTCAGTAAGAAGCCTTGAGAAAGAAAAAAACAAAAAAAACCCCACTGCATATTCCATAGATAGTTCAGCGCCCAGATTTCTTTTTTAGGGGAAGAGGGAAGTCTTTTTTGTCTTTCAAGTGTTTCATCCTATAGTACACTATATCAGGGGTTCCCAAACTTTTCCATTCAAGACCCCCCCCCAAAAAAAACAAAAAACATTAGCATCTGACCTTTTCAAACCCACAGAAGATGCCACAAAATATGTAAAGAAAATGTTTTGGGTTTTTTTTACTTTAGTTTAGTATTTCATTTGTTTAGCACAAGCATGGGCAAACTATGGCTTGGGGGCCAGATGCAGCCCATTTTGCTTTTCAATCCAGCTCACCAAACTTGTTATTCATTTCTATTATCATTATACTTCTTCCTTTTCACTGCAATACCCACATTTCTCCATAGATGGTGTAGAAAAGGCTTAAAACATTTTAGATCTTATGGTATTTCCATGTCATTTGTGTTATTTTCCCCCCATTCACCTTTATTGCACCATTCATTTCCTTTTTTTTTTTTGTCCTGATTTCATGAAAGACGACAAGTAGAACTTTAAGTATCAACTTTTATTAATGAACATAAACAAATTGGTAACAGACCTAGAACTTTCATTATGAAAAGAACAAACAAACAACACAGACCATTAAGTTGACTATGAAGCCATGCTTTTCAACTGTACTGATAACAGAGTCACACATTGTCATTAAAACTTCACTGTGTTCGTGGAAATGTGTCATTTTGACAAAATTGTAGTATGTCTTGTGCCTTCAGGTGGTTTTTAAATCAGCCCACCTCTAGCGATGAAAAGAAGTGATGGGTGGTCAGACACTGAAGCATCAGGCTGTGTGGGTTAAGAAGTGCACACATAACACTTAGCATTAGAATCTCAGAAGCAGTTTAAAGTGGGCAACTGGACTCACCTCAAGTTGCCTATTTTAAATTGCTGTTGAGATTATTTTTGATGACCTGGATGACTGAGAATATCCACAAATATAACAGTTAACACAGTCACATAACACTGCAGCCAGGAAGCAGAGAGCAAACAAGTGACAACTATCAGTAACAGAAGGTGTATTAATATTTCTTCAAACTTAAATGCATTTAAAATAAACTCACTGGATACCAGGGCAGGAACAAACAACAAGCAGGCCCAGGACTGCAGCACAGGCACCCACATCACACCGTGAACACTGATCCAACAAAGACTGAGTGAGAGAGGGAGAGAGGTTTATAAACTCAGGGCCCCACAGGTGAGGGTGGTTACACTGATTAACACAGGGAACCAGGCAGGAGGGAAGGGAGGCCTCACAAACATTTACTTTCTAAAATTTAATTGAAAATTGCATAGGCAGCCAGTAGAGGGAGGTAGGAGCAGGGGATCATAAGTAAATAAAAATAATTAAAACATAGATATATAAATTATACAAATAATAATAAATATTATCCTGTACCATATACTGTAAGAATTTTAAAAAAAAGTGCCACACAGTTACACACATTGAATCAAAGTACCCCAATATGATACTGGTATATATGAAGTATTTTAAGTTTATATAGAGTAATTATATTTTTACATTTTCAACGTAGTTTTAGCCTGGTAATTTTAATAGTAGCTCCCAAGTCAAAAACATGTAGACAACTCTGGTCTAGTCATTCTCATCCAATGATTGGCCAGTTAAGAACCAATCATCTTTCACATGCTATTTTTCAAGATTTCAAGATTATAAAAATATATATAAATACAATATTTTGAGTTTCCCACTTATAACTTATTCTTTCTTAGACTCTTTGTTCAAAATGTAGAAATGTCTTTCTGCACGCCATATGATGACATGACAGCTTAATGTTGGAGCATTTATCCAATCATGCATTAGCCATCATGTGTTGCTAGGGGCCAAGAAATCTGCCTCCAGACCATCACAAATATAGTGCTGTAACTTGTTGCTTTGTTCCATTTGTTTCTGCAGTGGTGAGACTGGGGCCACCTTGCTGGTGTACCATAGTGTCATCGCTTTCGTGTCCTGTGATTGGATGGTCAGAGAGCGCTGGACGGGTTTGAACTTTGAGTAGTTTTTTTTTCTCAATAAAAACACAATTTACCTTCATTTTAAACATGCAGATTAACCCTAACCTCCAGGTTAGATTTGACTTTAGATTATAGTTTTTTATGACAATAAATGTGATGTGTTACAGATGATGTATCTGGCACTGCTGCTGCTGCTGCTGCTGCTGCTGCTGCTGCTGCTGCTGCTGCTGCTGCAGTAACAGGTAACTTGTTAAATGTTGTCATGATTTAGCAATGGCGTTCATTTACACTGGATGATATAACTTTCTGTGATGCAATGCCCTGTTATGTTGCATTCCTGTATGGTAGTAACATTTTGTTCAGCAAATAAAAAGGTCATTAATTCTGCCATGACCACAGTTAAACTTTTTATTTACTAGACATTTT